GCATGATGTGTTCCATGTTTCATAACTTCAAAAGTATGTTCCGGATCCGTCGCATGTGATTCAGTTGGATGATGTTCAAGTAAGGGATAACCTTATAGTTGAGGCTTTGTCGGTAAGAATTGAAGGTCGTGAGGTGAAGCAGCTGATGGGCAAGGAGATTTCTCTCGTGAAGGTAGTGTGGGGAGGCGTTGTCAGTGGGAGCATGACTTGGGAGTTGTAGAGCAGGATGCACGAGGCATATCCTGAGCTGTTTAGATCAGGTAAATTTTCAAAGATTAAAATATTCTAAGTGGGGGAGAGCTGTAATGCCCGTTTAATTTTAATTATTTTTCGTAATTAAAATTATGTGATTATATGTGTATTTTATTATGTTGGGGTACCCTAAGGTAACGGGTAATGATCTTAGTGTTAGTGACCTTAAGGGTGAGGGGTGTGTGACAAATTTTGCAGAACTTGGTGGTGTGGTGAGAATAATTAAATTGTTAATATTAGCAATATTTGATTAATATTATTAATTTAAATTATTAGGAGATATTGTTATTATTATTTAATTGGTAAAATTATTATTATTATTATTATTATTATTATTAATAATAATAATAATAATAATAATAATAATAATAATAATAATAATAATAATAATAATAATAATGGGATAATAATAATATTATGAAATAAAAATAATATTAGAAATAGAAAAGGGGAAGTGGAGAGGAAGTTTTGTCAGAACGTAAAACTAGAGGAACGTGAGAAAAGAGGAGAAAAGGTTAGGGCTCAAAGAAGAAGAGGGAGAACTTCATTGTTGAGGAAGGATAAATCTTTACAAAACTCTAAGGTAAGGGTGGAGTTCTAACTAGCTAAGGGATAATATGATGATCATGGCGGGTAGATTCTATCATGTAGATTTTGTATCTCTGGTATTGTTGTTCGTAAATTCAATTGAATGGTAATTGTGAATTTATTGTTTTTCCGTTGATCGTTGTATGTTGATGTTGATATTGTTGTCATTGATGAATTTAATATATTGTTGTTGTTGTTGATTCATTGAATGATGGTTGATCGATGTCGTTGTTGTGTCGTTGTGTGAATTTGAGAATCAGAGTCGGAACGAATGTTTTAGGTGTTTTCGGGGGAAGAAAGCGGGATTTTTATGTTGATAAAACCTGACTTTTGAGTAAAATAATAGATTACACGTTTTATATAAAAAGTGGGGTTTATGGTTCGGATAAAAATCACTTTTCGTACTGATAAGCAATAGAAAGTGATTTTGCTGCAGGTGGAATCGGTTACCAGATATAGGGTAACCCGTTACGCTGTTGAAAAATAGCGTTTTTGGCAAACTGTGAAGGGGTAACTGGTTATCCTAATTTAGGTAACCCGTTACCCTGTGTTAATTTTGCGTGGTTGACTGGTTTTCAAGGGTGTAATCCGTTACACTGAAAACATTTATTTTTGAAAAAAAAAACTTTAAAAATTCATAACTTTCGTTCTGAGAGTCTGACTCGTGTGTCGTTCGAAGCGTCGAAAAGTTGTTGTGACGAACTTTAGTTTGAAAATAGTTTCAGTATAAGAAGTTGAGTGAATTTTCTATTTGTTGATGTTGAACGCATTATTATCATTTTGTTGTGGTGTAAGATGATTTTAAATGCCTTGTGGATGTTTTCCATGTTACTATGTTGTTGTGTTGTTGTTGCTGAACTGTCTTAACATGTATGTTGAACATGATGGCCAGGATTGGCGGAGTACATGACTATGAAAGTGTTGGTCATTGTACTCGATGTTGTTGTTGTTATTGCACGTATAATATGTTGCATGAATTGTTGTTATAGTGCTATTGTTGAGTGCTTGTAGTATATGTTGGTGATTGGTGACCAGTTTTGGTGTGGTATAATGATTAAGGTGAATATCATTGTATGTTGCATTGTTTTTGTTGTTGATTACTATATTATCATATTGTTGGTGAACTGTTATAGCATATATTTAAAGTGTGATGGCCAGTATTGGCGGAGTACATGACTATGGAGGTGTTTGTCATTGTACTTGATGTTGCTGTTGTTGCATGATTAATATGTTGCATGTGTTCATGATGTTGGGACATTGGTCCGTAGTTATGAGCATCAATCCTAGGAAGTGAGGATTGTATGTCAATAGTTGATTGTCGGTCTGAACGGAATCGATGAGATGTTATCGATAATAATGATAAAGAATTGTGAGCATCAATCATAGGAAGTGAGGATTGTATGTCGATAGCTGATTATCGGGATGAATGGAATCAGTGAGATGTTATCGATAATAATGATAATAAATTGCTAGCATCTATCCTAGGAAGTGAGGATTGTATGTTGGTAGCTGATTTTCGAAATGAATGGAATCAGTGAGATATTATCGATAATGATGATAACGAATTGTGAACTCAATATCCTAAGAGGTGGGGATTGGAGCTGGTGAACCTGAGTGTTCACGTATTGGAATTTCGACGGGAATTGTGATTCTGAGAAGGGGGATCAGGTTCTGAAATAGGAACTGAATGGTACCACATGCATTGAGTCGAGTTGCGAGTCTCATTGCATTTGCACATTGATTGCATTGGTTGTTGGAATTGATGTTTGTTGTATGTTAACTTTGTAGATGTATATTGGATGTTGTTGTGTTGGATGGTTGTTGTGTTGGTTATGTGGAATGTGTGATGTGCATGAAATAATTTGTTGCCTACTTATTATGATGTTTTCCTTTATCTATTTATGATATCTCACCCCTTTTGTTTGAATGTTGCCTTTACATGGATATCGTGCAGATAACTCGCGGTAGAGGAGTTAAAGTAAGTAGAAGATGAAGTCTTCTATTTTTTTTTTGTCGGCGTCTGCTCTGATGTGTAACACTGGGGTCAGGGAACATTTTGGTATGTTGAGTTTGGTAGAGATTTTTGGATATCTCTAGAATTTGTGGTTTATGTTATTTTGAAGAATGATTATGTTTTGAATATCTTCTTATGTTGATGCTTCCGCTATTTTCAATAAAGTTGAAATTTAAGACCTGTTGAATTGTTATATTTATTATAACTAATTTTCAAACATTGCACGTGTTACATATCATCATATATGAGCAACTGTTTTATGTTTAGTTGTGTGACATCCAGAATATAAATGATGTATTTACTCTAATATTTTAATTATATTTTGCGGGTATATTTGGAGTGTTACATAGAGGAGAGAGAGGACGCAAAGATGTAGTCCGACATATACAGTAATGCAGTAGTATATAGTAGTTGTATTATGGATTGTATTCTATTTTCACCTCATGCTACTTTCTCATTATTTTCGACCTTTTGTATATATGCCATTTGAACCATATGAATTTATATACGTCATTTTTTGCATATAAATTGTATGATTTAAATTTCGTCACATAACATGGTACATAACACTTAATAATCTCCATCTGAATACACGTAAGCAAAACGTAACATGTATTATGTTGTTCTGATAGGTTACAGAGATATATCTCCGTAAAATAAATGGAGATGAATCTCTGTTACAATAAACTTGTAAAATAACTTCTGATGTATGATATATGTTTTCAATTATTACAAAGATGCATCTCCGAAATATTTTAACATTTATTAAAAATTTGATGCGTCCAAAGATGCATCTCCAAAATCCAAGAGACATTTCAATATTTTCGCGTGATGTGTAAGTATCATATAGGTGCATTAAGAAATTTCCAAAAAAGAAATATACTTTTGGGTTCTGTGTAATCCACATACATAGATGTTATGAGTGAAAAATTATTTGGAAGATTAACCTTACTCTATCCTTATATATTGCTTGAAAAAGTTGCACATAACCTTAAAACAAACAATTATCACATTTTTTATAAGTGTACTCTACCTCGAGTTATCCTCATGGAATATCATCTTTCCAATGGTCATTTAACAATTCTACATACAAACATTTTGTCTGTAATACGTAAAGGAACTTGGATAAATTTAGAAACCTCCATTACATATAAGTTTTACATATAATTCAAAGGCTATGAACCAAATATTATTAGCTTTCATTAGTATTAATGGATCAAAGATTCAAAACAATCATTTTTAATGCGTGTTATCTTGGGAGATACATGATAGAAGTGCTACTTTGACATTTAGATTTGGTGGTAGAAATAGTCTGCCAATAGCATTCAAGTCATAAAGATCAATCTAAATAAATTCCATGTAACCCTCAAAAGGACTTCTCTACATGTCATCTTATCAACCTTTGAATTATCAAAGCAGTACTGAAAGAAACTACCATGAAACCGAGGAAAAAGTGTAGTAAGGGACAAGAAACTTGAAAACAACATCAATCCCTTTTAGACCCTAAAATCTAACAAGAGATAAGCATTCAAAAGACACAGTATAACAGATAATGCAAAAATGTTGATGGTATACCATCATAGATTATAAGATCCGTGTAGCTTCAACACAAACATAGAAAGGAGCGCAAACAAATGGACACCTAAATGAGCTCTGTGTAGTGTGTCATTCGGGTGCTGCCATACCACGGACACACCTAAAACAAGTTGTGCTCGTGCTTTGTAGTATATATTTGCCAATGAAAATAAAAACATGTTAACAAGATCTTTGTATTTGACCAACACTCGTCCAAGAAAAATGGAAAGCAATATTATAAGATTGTTTTCATATATAATTGTGACCTGTTGTATAGAAGATCAATGAAAGAAGGCAAAATAACTTATATGTTTAAAAAGTGTCAATCTTATAGTTCAATAATTCTGAGTATAGCATATAAATCTACCTCATTTGTATAAACATACCAAACAAATGAAGTTTCTTCATCTCTATCTGTATAGCATATAGAACGAACAACTAGAACTCTTCTTCATCCATTCCTATCTATATACACTCTTGTCTATTGAGAGAAACATTTCATTACATCTGACCTATTAAAAATGTATACTATACATTGTCAACGAAAACGAAACAGTTCACTTACCAGCCACTATGAACATGTAGCCAAACCATCTTGTGGTAGCAATTGTCTCTCTTGGTCCAACGTGTTCTTAACTGCTTGATAAAACTCTATCCATGAGCAAGAGTTGGAATCCAAAGGACCCCAAAAAAATGTTGGATTTGGACTTGCAGGGCAAGCAGTAACCAAATCCAAGACCGAAACCGGTTTCATCATCTTCTGTGGGAAATTGAATGCCAAATTATCAACTTTATGTTCATATATTTTCCCATTTCTATCCAATTTATACCGCGAAGTACCCTGAAATTCACCTTTAGCCTCCCATGGAACCCTAGGCACACCCCTCAAGTTCCACCTGATCAATATCACATTCTCCGAAGGCTGCCATATTCTGTATACATCCAAACCAATCTCACGAAACAAAATTCTACCATGAAACCTCAATGCCCAGAAGATCAATTTGTACTTCTCAATACCAGTAAATGTGTTCAAAGGGTCCAGGAATGTTACATCATCCCTGAAAATTAACCAAATCGAACATTAAAAATCCAATTTTTATTTTTGCTCACAGAAACAACTTAATTCCAATTAAAAACCATAAATTCACATCCAAAGGAAGATACCTTAAACACCCAGATGAGAAAATTACCTATAAATGTTATAATTGAGGTCATTAATTAATAAACCCAATTTTTCTTATTTGCGAAAAAAAAAATAACTTTTTTCACTCAGAAAACACATATTCACATCCAAAAGATGAAACTTTGCATACCCAGATGAGAAAATTACCTATAAATGTCATAGTTAAGGTCTTTAACAAAGATCAAGGGCATGTCCTCACGAAGGGTCCTAACAGCAAGACCAAGATTGAGATAAAAATCATCCTTCTGATGCTGATTCTGTTTATCTTGAGTAGCTAATGGTGTATTAACCTGAGCAACCTGTGCAGTGGAAGTTTGAAGTGAAGGAGAAGAAGAAGTGAAGATTAAAGAGCATTGAGAAATGGGTTTTGAAGATGAAAGGGTTTGGTGAAAGGGTTTGCCTCTGATTATTGATTTAGATTGTGGAAACAGAGAAAGAGTGAGATTGCATACAAGAAAAGCCATTGATTTTGAATGCTCAATGCAATGGGTTTTCAAAGATATTGGAGAGAGAGAAAGAGAGAATGTGTTGTAGCAAAATTTGAGGCTGTTGTTTTATCATTTTGAGTGGTATTGAATATGGCCATGAAATCATATGAATTAAAATATGTATTTGCCTCTTTGTAATTTTTCTACTTCTCACGTGGTCACATAGGTGACATGTTTTATTTATTTCGTCAAACATGTTTTTAGTATTTTTACTATAACCTTTAATTTATCCCATCATTATCATTTTCTTTGCCAAACCTCAATCTCTCTCTCTCAAATTCCTCAAAACTAGTGAAATCAAATGCTAAGATACATAAACCCCCTCCAAAATAGTGTGGACCTCCCACTTATTATTATTCCCAACAATAATGAGCTATAATTTTATATTTGATTATCTTTACGCCTCGGTTCTAAAATAGTATCCCTAAAACGTAAAGTGATATCAATAACCCTGAACTAAAATTTCACATTTGATATATGCACGTGTATATATAAATTTCATAAAATTTATTTCACCAACGTCAAACAAAAATTTACATTAATGTATCAAATCTAAAAGTGAAATATAAATCCAACATTCTAATTTAGTTCAAGAGATTTTCCGTTAAAATCTTAATTTAGTTCATGAGTTGTGGCCGATGTAAAATATATATTTTGATTTGTGGGATCTCTATCTTGCTTAATTCTTAAGCTCAGCCAGGTATAAAACTTCTGTTGGTTTCCAGATTGTCCTGATGTAAAATCTCGTATTTGTTTTGGATGATAGTCATTATTAAAACTTTTTTTTAAGATAGTCATTGTAAAACTCAAGTTTTTTTAAGAAGGTTTGCAAGCAAAACTTGTGAAAAGCTAACACACATAGTGAAAACTCTTAAGAAGATATTCTTAAGGAGAAGAGTATGACAAGTTGTTAGATTGAACCTCTATGAATCTCTAATGCATATGTCTCTACTCTTATCTCTTTACTTTTCAATCATTTATTTATTTTCATTGTATTTCTTTATTTTTAATCTGATTTTCTTTATTCTTCTGCTTATTCCTTGTTTGTTTTACCAATTTGTTTTAAACTCAAATTTTATCAAAAAAAAATTATTTCAATATCTTTTTTCAAACTCACACAATTCACGCCCTCTCTTGTGTTTGGAGTCACTTGTCCAACAAGTGACAACATAGCCTAACTCATGTTCAAAGACTAATTGACTAAGGCAGTAGATGATCTTACACATTTTAGTTGATGTAAATAGAATAATTATTTTATGTGTGTAGGGTTTAGTGAGATGATATAATATGAGTAGTAGCATTTTTAGTGAAGTTGGTTATTTTGTTATTAGAGATAAAATAATAAGAATAGAGAAATTAAATATAGAAAAATATGGTTTTATGATAGAAATTATTTAATTGACTTATTAATATAGAAAATAGGAGTTAGAAGAGAAATAAGGGGCAATGTGGATATTTAGGAGAATAATTTGGGAGCTAATGAGGTAATTAAGAGAGATTGGATAGAAAACCCTAGATATATATTCTAAAAGGTGAAGGAGAGTTAGGTTTCATTCAATTTTTAGAGAACTTAAGAGTCAAGAAGAGAACCCTAGAGTTAGAAGAGGAGAGAAAGTTCATTGTAGAAGAGTTTGCTTACTGCAATTCTAAGGTAAGGGGGAAAATAACTTTTAATAAAAATGGTTTATGAATGAGAGGTAGGGTAGAAGAATCCTTAACCTCCAATAAGGATGATGATTTTGATGAATTCTATGTTTTATGAGAAGTTGATGTTTTGTTGATTTTATTGGTGTTAATTTCATGTGATTTGATGCATATAGTTGTGTAGCGATATTCGTATGGTGGTTTGTGTATAACGTGTGTGTGTGTGTGTCTATATATATATATATATATATATATATATATATATATATATATATATATATATATATATATATATATATATATATATATATATATATATATATATATATATATATATATATATATATATATATATATATATATATATATATATATATATATATATATATATATATATATATATATATATATATATATATAATATTTCAATTTAGATGATAATAATAATAATAATAATAATTTAATATTATTAATATTATATTTTTTTTAGGAGTTCTGAGTTAGAGATAAACAATTGGGTTATTTGGCCAACTTAGATTATTTCTAATTTTGTAAGAGTTGTTCATAGAGTTGTTAGAGTTGTCGATTGAGTCCATAAGATATATCTTTATGTGCAAGAGTTGTCAGTAGAGCATTTTTGAACACTTTAGAGTTGTTTTAGAGCGGTAGAAATTGTTTTAGAGTTGTTTGGAGTTCCTTATGAACTTTGTTGAGTTATAATTATATATCTTTATAACTTTGTACGAGTTAAGAGTATAGATTAAATTAATAAAAATACTATGTTGAGATATTTTGAACTCATAAAAAAATGTATTTATTATTCTTTTGAGTTTTCGAAATTGTTGGCGTAGTGTTAAGGGCTGTTTGGCGTGATTTAATTGAATAAAAAATATTTTTTTTATTGATTTTATTAGTTTTTATGGGATATAGTTATGTATAGACGAGTTGATGATGTTTTTTTAGATTACTATGTTTTCTCTTGAATACTTGTTGATTTTTATAAGTATGTTGTTTTGTATCGTTGAGTTAAAGGTGAGTTACATATATGTGAATTGATAATTTTATTGAGTTGAATTATTATATGTCATTGTTTTGATGATAACATAAATGAAATTTTGCATAAAGGAAATATATACTCTAATTGTGTTTAAGTAATTTTGTTTCAGATCTTAAATTATATATTCATCTAGAAGCAAAAATTACATCTGCAAGTGAAAAGAACGTTTAGACTCTGAGCGTCAGAAGCAACAATTCAAAAGACTCTGAGCGATGTTTGAAGAGACTCTGATCTGCTACAGATGACTCTGAGTGAAGATAAGAAGAATTTGAGTAAAGAGCATACAACATTGTTTCAGAAGAATCTGGAAGTACTTCATGCTGCAAGTACAGAGGCTCTGATATTCAACTCTGCACTGATTGTAACATTCACGCTTAAAGCACTATTGCTGCAAGACTCTGATCTGAAGAACAAGGAACTACATCAGAGGATCTGATGTTAGTTTATTCAGTTGAAAAGATGTCAGCTCAAAGAAAAGATTCGTTGTTAATCCCAACGTCTGCTCCAACGGCACTATTCCTCATTTATGCATGACACAAGAATTCAGACACAAAGCACATGTCTGAACATTCCTCTTCTTGGAAAGAAAAAGTCAATAGAGGACAAAAGGCAACAGAAGCAGCAGAACGTACAACATGCACAGTCTTTGAGAGAAGGACTTGAAGTAGTATTTAAACAAGCTTCAACATCTTTCCAACGTTGACGAATCATTTGAAAGAAAATCAACTTACAAGCTCTCATTCAAATATTCTTCAAAGCTTAACAGTTCTTATATTTGTTCTTAATCTTGTGTAAACATCACTGTTGTGATATAGCTTATTTGAAGCAAAACCTTTAACACAAATTGTTAGTTTATCTTTGTAAAAGATTTCCTTGAGAAGACCAAGTTGTGGTCAGATTTTCTTGAGAAGACTAAGACAGTTGTCTTAGTGGTTTACACTGTAATCAAGTTTGATATAGTGGATTAAGTCCTTGTTGAGAAAGGCAAATCACCTGGGTAGTGTTGCACCCTAATTTTTGACCTTAAGATTCCACCCCCATGTTTTAGCTTGTATTTTATCTTTATACTTTTATGCGTTTATTACCACTAATCAATTTGTGCAAGTGCTGTATTTTCATAGATTATTATGATCAAGCATCGCAGGGACAAGACAAGAATCATGGTGATTAAGGCTCCTTGCGCCATCAAGTATTTGTTGCTATAAACATGAGATAGAATTCGAGGGATCCCAGGAGACGTCCGCGTTTGGTCTGTATTATTTAGAGCTCAATTGATGAAGTTCATTTGGTTAAAATTGAATTTACGTGCTTGACAAAGTTCAAATCAAAAGTCAAAATCAAGTTGCTATGTGACCCAAGTACTGATTCAGATTTGGAAGTTTATAAACTCAAGTTATTAATCCTCACAAAGACTCAAGTCAACACTCCAAAGTTAAGGAAAACTCATTGTGAGCATTGTTCCAATATTTTAATTGGAGATCACGTTGAAGTTTCCATACCATCAAGGGCCTTATCCTCCAAGCCTAAGACACCATACTCGAACAGATTCACGTTTAACGGAACACAATTAACGTTTAACAATGCAGAGAAAAAACATGAAGCGCTAATAATAATGGGTTTGGTACATGTATTGTTTTTGTCATGGACCTGTGAGCCAAAGTTCAATTACTTACAAATATCCACTTAATTAAATGCCTACAAGTCCTCACGAATCCATTCACATATACAAGAGAAAACGCCTGCAATCATTATCATGCCAGACCGTTTTTTAAATTAATGGAGACATCTTAAGTTCACACCAAGGCCAAAGAAAAGTCTTCTGGTATGGAGTTATGCTGGTATTGAGTTATGCAGGAAGTGTGTAGTGAACTATCCACCTTTTACCGCCCTTCGACTGGAACCAAGAAGCTCCCCATGCGAGATACGTAGCCTCGCGGGCTAGAAAAGCAATAGCATGCCATCGAACATTCCGCCACCGGTGGGAGTTTTGATAACACCAAGAGTCTGTTATTGCTTAGATCTTAAACCTTTTGCCTCCACTTGTCGAAGAGACCGATTCAGGGAATTCGAAAGTCTGTCGTACCAGAAATGTTCGCAACTTCAAAGATACGGACATGAAGGTCCACAGGCCTGTTCCAGATCTTACAAGGAAACCTGCCAACGGAATTGGGTAAAGTTAATAAGGCCATGATACAACCTCAGTGACAAAGGCGCGATTTAATTATCCAGGGATCAATAATACTTACCCAAATATCAAGGTCATGGGTACGAAAAT